AAGAATGAGCCAACAGACCACTGTAGCTGATCTTAATCAACCTTTGGAGACAGTATTATAATAACAGTTTGTGTATGTGTGTATATACACATGTACATACACACACAGAGCAAGAAAGTACTTTTTATATTTTTGAAACCTGATTCCTCTTTTGGAAAATGAAACCAAATGACAACTCCACTCATCTTTAAACTGGCCATGTACTGCTGAAAGCCTAACCATCTTCCTTTGATAGACCTTCTGTGCTACCATCTTACTCCTCTTAGTTTTCACATCTCTCCCACAAGGCATCCCCCAACTCTTCAGCAAAGGCTTATTTAGTGGCTATTTGTGCACCCATGGTGAAACCTTGGCCATAAAAACAGGATCCTGAGGCACCCCACAGAGCATCCTCACCACCTCATTTCAGATGTTTATATAAGTGGACCTTAATGCTGTAGTGGCAAGACTGAGCTGTTGGCCACCACACTGTAAGCACACTTTCACATACATGGACATGAAAGTACTAGGAACTGTTAGACGGTTTTATTTTTAAAAAAACCCCAAAACAAAACCCCAAGATCAGTGAGCATCACGTTTTCTAGAAAGTTAATTTCCAAGGGCAATCCATCTACCTCCCTTGGAATAAGACTCCTTGTCAGTAACAAACCAACAGGAAACCCAATCATTACACTTTTTAAATGCTACAGCTTCAAAATGTATGATAAAAAAAAATCTCACCTTGGGACAGAAACGTATATGCTAAGTTTTACCCCCAAACTGTTTGATGTCGAAAGGTTTTAAAAATCCCTGTACATAGTGAGTTGCAATGGACAGGCACATAGGCCTTTTACAGCAATAGCATTTAAGTTTGCTATTGCTGTAGCAGCCGAGATTTCACACACCACTAGGGATGTTCACCTCACTTACAGGTGCCCAACTTGAGAGAATAAAAGATATCTAACTTCAAATGGCTGGTGCTCAGCACTAACAAGAAACTCAGACCGCTTAGCAGATATCTCAAGTTGGATACCCAAAGTCACTGTTGGCTGCTAACAATGGTGTGTTATGCTATATATAGTCCAGGCTCCTTCGCCACTTTTCCAATAGGTGTGAACTTTCCAATCCAAACATAACCTGAAAAAGGCAGAGCTCCATGTCAGACCAGCTCCACTGCTATAGGAGAAAAACAAAGGTGAAAACTAAGTTGAAATAGCCATAGTGATGGAACTGGTGATAACTGGAACTATTCTCCCTTTGTGGAAGAAGGGAAGCACTGGGGAATGAGTGTTGCCCCTAAACATCACATTGGTCCCATTTTTTCGCTCTTCCAGTCCCCGTCTCCATAGCAAATTAGCTCCTCTGGGACATGCCACCACTAGATACTCCTGTCCCCTCCGACATTTGTAAGTCTACTTTTAGTGCACACAGGGACTGAGCTAGTGTTTGAGACATTGGACTATGATTCAGCATATGGTTCTGCAGCCGACTTCCTCATATATCTTGGGCAGGGAGGTCATTCAAAGCCTCCGAGCTTCATTCCCAATGTCCTGTTCTTGGAATGCTTTTCTCCCACCCTTTGCCTCTGCTACCTACTCACAATGTAAGGGGCGGTCTCTAACTATGAGCTTGTGCCCTTTATGGTAGATAGTGGCTACCATATTTGTTGAGTTCTCTTGCTACTACCTTAACATAAATAATAAAACAATGGTTGTATTACATTGCTAAACATTATTTTACCATTAAATGCATCAATAACTTGCTGCAGTTTCCAGGTATATCCCATTGTATCCTTTTGCTCGGACATTGATCCTTAGAGCTAAAAGCTTGCGAGATCTCTCTGGGCTCAAAGGCTTTCTAACACCTGCAATGACAGCAATGACCTCCAGTTTATAAACCTCTGTGATAACACTGTAGTTGAGAAAACTATCAAAATCAGTGTTTTTACTACCTGCAGAATGGGAGCGAACTAAATTCACTTGGAGTTCCCTACAAAGAAAAAAAAAACATTTAAAAAACAAACAAGAGGCAATGTTTAAAAATAAACTGTAGAAATGATGCAGAGCTCTCTTCCAGACATTTTCTTAAATAAATAAGGAAGTATGGACAACGTACTTGAGCTTACTGTTTGGAATGACAGTCCGGGCAAACTTCCCAAAGCCAGTAGTGATTCCATAAACAACTGAAACAGATGTTACAGAGAAGGAACAGGACTCAGAGTCATTTAAACTGACACAAAATTAATGATTAGGGGGAAAAAATGCAAATACCAGTCCATTCCTTTACAATGCTTTCAATAACCTCTCTTGATTGTCTTTAGCTTCAGCTTGAGATGTGAGCTAGAAAATACAAATGTCACCATTTATTTAGTCCTCTGCTTAAAAACTGCACAAGAATAAACAGATAAATACAAGAGTCAGATTCTTTCCAAATCCTTTACCTTGATCTCCCCTCCAGGTGCTTGCACAACCCCCGCGCTGCTCTGCCTAGAGCCCCCAGGGAGGCAGCTCCCGCCCCTCACACAGCAGCAGCAGGGGCCCCTCTGCTTCCCGCAGCTCAGGCTGCGGCCCCGCAAAGCCTTTCCCAAACTGACCAAGTCTTCTGTTGTCAAACTGTCTCCATCTAAAGAAATATACTACACAACAGATATTTCTTAGAGATGTGTGTATATGAAGTTTCTAAACCATGATAACTAAATCAAAGCACACCATGAAAACTTAAGAGTGAGCTTTTTCTGATACGGAGCTTACCCACAATCTCACATAACAACAATGCTAATAAAAAATACCAGCAAAATACAAATGGTTGACACTGTGCATTAAACAGTCATGGGGGATCTTGCAGACGTTTACTGCTGAGCAAAATGCTTCTGCTGTAGTGTTGGTGAAACTGTTCCCTGTAGTAATTACCATAATGCTTGGTAATTAATGTTTGTAGGACTGACCGAGTCCTTTGAAAGCTAATGTAGTTCACATTACAAACAAGCCATGCACTCTGAAATATCCTGTGGGGGTCCATATCATTCTTCCCCATAGACAAATAAAGAAACTATATTTCCTCTGAACACTGACAGGGCAAAAAAAGCAATGTGGTCTTCACTGTTCAGACAATTTCACTTCACTTCCTTTTTGAAACCCCACCCCCCGCCCCCAAAACCAAAACCCAAAAAACCCAACCCAAAAAACAACAACACAAAATAACCTGTGAAGCCCTCCAGACATGGAGCTTGATGAATGTCTGTACAGACCAGTTCCTGGGTTATTTTTCTACCAGAAGAAATTTCTTCAGGTAGAAGTGGATGCAGCCAAAAAAATCCTCTTGAAATCTGACCCTCTCTTTAGCAGCAGTTCATGTTCTGCACTGAAGAGTAATGAGGCGGGAAGCAGATAGGCTCAGTAAAGTTTTATATGGATGAAAAACTTGTAACACACTTTATTATATCAGCATGGCTTCTGTCTGAGGAAGCTTTACTGCAGTACCACTACCTTGCATATAAGTTCCCTAACGGACTTAAAACAGATACAACTTTCTCATGGAAATGGAGTGCAGGTAGAATTGTTGAGACAGTTATCAGAATCCCTATTTTCTATTATTTTAAAGTGTCTCATTAGTTTAAGTATGGGGGTGACCAGTTAAGAGTTGAATGAAACAATATATATTGGAGAAGCCTGAATCAGCTAGACAAAATCAATGCTTTAAGTACTTTACAGATTCAAAGCCCAGACTGAGAATGTTTACATGAGACTGAACTTAATTTGCAGCAAGTCTACAAAAAACAGCAGAAGCTTTAATTTATTCCATGTGTAGGAAGTCAGTCAGGAGAAAATAGCCATGAAAGAAATGAAAGCTTTCTTGATTTAAATGCACTAATGACATTTAGTATTGATTTAACTAAGTC